TGGGGACTTCTGGCACTACTCAACAGATCCAGAGGAGGAGCAGAACTTCAACAGGACTGTGACCACTGCTTTCCACCAGATTGTGACCATCACCTTGACAAGACTGTGACCACCACTCCAACCATCAGGTTTTGTTTTCTTTCCTTTTGCTTTGCATGCCAGGGGACCACATGGTGCTCAGCACAGGAACTAATGAACACTATTCTGTTCCTGTCCCAGGGTGCCTGGCTACACTCTGCCTTTGTGGGTTAATCAGTGTCATTGTATTTCTTATAATCTCTTTTGTGAATTGTAACTCCCAACTTTAATCTCTCACGGGGAAGTTAAGTGGGGTTCATTTCTCTGCCAGTTAAAGCCCGCACTGTGTTTTAGAGGTTTTACAGTCATGATACACGTGGTAATTTCTAGAGACGGACTTGGGCAAGAGTAACTCCCAATCCAGCATGCTAACATCTTGTTTTCCCCTCTAAACCAGGATTTCCCATTCCCAGACATTAGCTGGATGGAGGAGAGGGCTGCGAAGAAGAGGAAGATGTCTCAGGACACACAGGAAGGTGAGGAGGAAGTGATCGCTCCTTTCCCCCTCTCCTCCATCACTCCTGGCTGCAGGACAACCCCACTGCCGACACCATCGTGCCGGTGATGGACTGGGGAGGATCTGCTTCCCCTTCCCTCTGGCACGGAGGCAAATCCCATTCTCTCCTTGTCCTTCCTCCCCCAGGCAATGAGCTGAGGATGGAGACCAAGGAGGGCAAATCCCCCCAGCAGAACCTCGTGGAAGAGGCTGTTTTGAGCGGCTCCACAGCACAGGAATCCAACGAGGAGGAAAAGCCCCGGATATCCCACAAAAAACAGGGGTCCAAAGCCAGCTTAGTGTGCTCTGAGGGGAAAGACCCACCCTGTGCCAGGAAGGCACCAAGAGCTTCAGCCAGAGCTCAGAGCTGGTTGTCCATGAGCAGCTTCACACTGGGGAGAAGCCCTACAAGTGCTTGGAATGTGGGAAGAGCTTCAGCCAGAGCAGAAACCTGCTCTGCCACCAGATGATCCACACTGGGGAATGGCCCTATGAGTGTGGGAAATGTGGGAAGGGCTTCAGCAAGTGCTCCCACCTGGTTCAGCACCAGCGCATCCACACCGGGGAGAGGCCCTACAAGTGTTCTGAGTGTGGGAAGAGTTTTCAGAGCAGCTCCAATCTCCTCCTGCACCAGCGGATTCACACGGATGAGAGGTTCTTCCACTGCCTCAAGTGCGGGAAGGGCTTCAAGCGAAACTCCCACCTCATCAGGCACCAGCGCATCCACACTGGGGAGAAGCCCTATAAGTGTCCCGAGTGTGGGAAGAGCTTCTCCAATAGCTCCGACTTGAGCAGACACCAACTCAGCCACCAGTAAGGGAAGTGCCGTATGAGTGCTCTAAATGCAGGAAAAGCTTTTTTCCTCTCCTCCAGTTCCTTCCCCCATCAGAGGATCTATACTGAGTAGAGCCCTGGTGACCCACATTCCCTGTGATCCACATTGGGATGTCACCTGGCTGGTGGTCTCCGTGTCCTCCTGGATCCCCATAGACACCTGCATGAGCACAGGGGCAGGGACATCCATCGGGACTCTGATCCAAATCAGAAATTCTTTGGGAAGAGCTGATTTTTTGTTTACACCCCAAAAAATGTCACCTGCTCAGTCCAATTGTTTTTTCTAGTAGCATCATGCAATGATGAATGATCTTGGAGTTCTCTTCCACGGAAATCTTATTTCCAAGGAAATAAATAATTTCCTTCTTCATCCTGTCAATACAACCAAAATTGAGGTAAAAATAAAGAATGTAAACCAAGGCAACTAAAGCCAGCCATTTTACTGGATTTGGTGGTAAATTTATAATTGGTTCACAGGATTATTTGGGAGGATTGGGGTGTTGTGGGGTCATCAAACCGGGCAGATGGGGCTACATTCTTGTAGTTGTGCTGGCAGAACGTGTCCACCTGAGCGTGTCTGTTCTCCAGGAATTCCCATTGTCTGTCCCAGTCCCTGGCCTGGGTCTTCCCATCCGGGCTGTGATCCCCAAAGTGCCCAAATCGCTTCTGAAGTGCCCAAGCTGCTCCCAGCTGGGGCTGTTCCTGTCCACAAACCTCTCCTGGTCGGTGCCCTGGAGGGCTGGGAGGGGGTTTTGGGGGCTCCTGGGGACACTGAGAGAATCTTTTGTGGCTCTTGGGGACATCTGCGGTGCAAGAAAGT